GCTCAAGGTGCAGGCCCCAAGTTCAAACCCAGGTACCACAAAAAAAAATAAATACAAATAAATAAAATAATTATTTCATCTTTGACAATCAATTAGTTGATCCTGACCTTAACAGTGGCAGAGAGAGTTAATGAATCAACACAGAAGCAACAGACTTGATTTTTCTCAAGCATCTATCAGAAGACTCAAACACATAAAAGAAGAAAAATATTTGTTCTCTCTGCTCTGGGCTTCTGCGGGTGGGGAGGCACATTTGGCTCCAAATAACATGACAAATAAATGAGCCTTGGATGCCTGCAAAGTTTCAGCTCTGCTCTCTGGTTACACAAATGGGCAAGAATTCAGCAAAGGGCTGGAAAGCAGGAGTGGGGAGGGGAAGGAGGAGAAGAAAGAAGAACTTGGTTCACAGGGTGATTCTTCCTGATGCGCCACTCTCACGTTCTGCCCAAAGTAAGAGGAGGCCCTTTCCTCAAGCAGCCTCAGCTCCTATTTGCCTCTCAGTTTCACTTTTTTTTTTTTCTTTTTTGGCAACACTGGGATTTGAACCCAGGGCCTCATGCTTGCTAGGCAGGTGCTCTTAATTCTCAAGCCACTGCACCAACTCTTTACTTTCTTCTCTTGGGACAAATATCTCACATATTACATAATCCTAATGTTTACAAACATATTCTTCCCAATATTTTTTTTGACAGTACTGGACATTGAAGTCAAGGCCTTCAGCTACCAGACAAGACCATTTAAGCTGTGTCCTCTCCAACATTTCATTAGGAAACTATTCACACAGACAGAAACATTGAAAGACTGGTGAACCACCCACCATTCAGATTCAATAATTGATCTTTTCTTCCATTTTCTTTTAATACACACCCAAAATCCAAAGAAACAGCAGCCAAGGGTAATTCCGACTCTATGTGGCTTAATATTACTCTTAAGACAATATAGGAAGTGGGCTGGTGGAATGGCTCAAGTGGTAGAGTGCCTGCCTAGCAAGCATGAGGCTCTGAGTTCAAATCCCAGTATCATTTAAAAAAAAAGACTCTATAAGGGCTGAGGATATAGTTCAGTACTTGAGTGGTAGAGCACTTACCTAGCATGTGCAAGGCCCTGGGTTCAAATCCCCAGTACTACAAAAAGTAATAAGAAGAAAAATTGCATTAAGACAAAACAGTACTGAATACATCTCTCATCTCATTGGATGCAAATCCTCCCTCCCCCCCCACCCCGCACCACCCCGCATAAAAGTGTTTCAGTCCCAGGAGACCCAGGGTCCACAATCAGAGTGTTAGAGAGGTTTCCATGTCCTTGTCCCTTTTTCTCTTTTGTCAGGTAACCCAATACTTACTGGACCAATCTTTTGTGATGGATGAAGAAAGTCTTTATGAATCTTCTCTCCGGATAGAACCAAAACTCCCCACCTGAAGCTGTCCCCAGCCAGACCAGCTGCTCCCTGGACACATGCTATATGATAGTGTACATATTCGTTTGGTTTCTCTGGATTTTCTTCTTCAGTATGTGCTTCTCCAAGAATACAAATCCGTTCTTGTTCTTAGATTCCTGTAGAACCGGAATACCAATTTCTGCACCGTTTCCGACTCTGTCTCCTGGCCCCAGCCCTCCTGCGGTGTCCTCAGTCCCCTCCCAGACCCTCACTCCACTCGGAAAGGGAGACAGATCCCAGAAACCACCCAGACACGAGTCTTGGACTCCAGTCCTGTTTCATCCATCCCTCCCCAGCCCAGGTCCCTGGGTCAGCTCAGCCACCAGGGCCTCCTCCCAGCATGATCCATGTTCTTGTTATAACTGGGTAGGGGTAGGGTGGGGTGGGGTGGGGTGGGGTGGGGAAGGGGGAAGCGGGAGGGGGAAGCCATACCTGCAAATCCGGTCATTGACAACTCTTCCCGCTGATGGTGATGCCAATTTCCAAAGCAGCTTTTCAGCCAAAATCGCAGGTCTCCACACACCCGGTCTGTCCCCCGGTAACCCAGCAGGAGGGGAGTCCTCGCCTGAGATCCACAACCCTAGCATCAACGCTGCCCTTCAGCCACACGTCGCTCCTTGCTCTAGGATTATTACCAGACAGCATGAAAAAGCAGTCTCAATGCAAGCGGACAAGGTCCTAGAACGGCCCGAGGAAAACAGAGTCACACACTAGGTAGAGGCGACTTTGCAGACTGCTGCCCAGCATGCACTGGAAGTCGGGAACACACAAAAAAATGGCACTTTTCCTCTTCAAGCCGCCTGATGGTCACTACAAGCTTACGTTGAGATGCTCTAAGTCTGTATACCTTGTGATAACTCGTACCACACTATAGAATTAGGAAATCAATAACCAAGTGTTTTTATTGCATATACTGTAGTCCTGTCTAAATGCCTTCTAGCAGGAATATAGTACCGTAGTGCTTATTCTGTGAATATTACCATGTATTTTTTACATTGTACAGTGTAGAGAACACAGGTTCACTCAGAAGTGGCAGGCATGCACCACTACCACAGACAGACAACTTTTGCTGTAAGCAATACCTAGCGGTATGAGAATTCTATTTCATAGTCCTAAAATATTTCAACTTACAGCTTGTTTGGAAAAAAGAAAAAGAAATTTCCATTTTTGTAAAAATATATGTTTCCTGATTACCTCTTGCTAATAAATCTATTCTATCTCAGGGTGAACAGTGAGTTTTGATGGGTTTTCATTCATTTATTCAAGGACTAGCGATGACCACCTGCAGATCCAGGGTGACCAGTTAGCATCACTAATTTGGAGGACCAACAGGCTGTGTGTTACTATTGCACCAGAAACAAACCACTCCAAAACTTGATGGCTTAAAACCATTCTGATTACTTTTCACAGTCCTGTGCATGGACTGGACCCAATTGGCAGCTCTTGCTTGGGATCTCTCAAAAGGCTACAGGGGGCACAACAGCTGGGGCTGGAATTATCTGAAGGCTCCACTGGACCTGTCCAAGATGGTGGCCTGGGGCTGCTCTGAGGTCATTAGCAGAAGCACCAAGCACATGACCTATTCATGACTTCTCACAGTGTGGTCACAGGTCCCAAGAAGGACCACTCCAAAGACTCAGGCAGAAGCACAAAGCTTCCTGGCTGGATCTTACTAGCCTCAGGTCTGAGTCCCATAATGTTAGACTCATTGTGTTGGCCAAGCACAAGGGGAAGGGAATTAAGTGCTTCTTAATGGGAAGAGGGACAAAATATGTGTGGCTACCTTTAAGTGGCTAGAGAAACAGACTACTTGACCCACACAGTCACAGGCTGGTGCCTTGGGACACCAAAGAAGAAGGGGGTTAGAAAAAGTCTCATTGAGATGTGAAGAGGTTGTGAGATGGGTAAGGAAGATTTTCTAGGCAGAAAAGTTGGGAAGGGTACACCAGGCAAAGGGATCTATGCTGAAGTGTACAAGAAGGTACATATTTGGGGACTGAGGACATGAGCATACAGGGTGTATAAGTTTTGGGGCTAAGAGATGAATAAGGTAGAAGAAACCAAGTCACAGGAGGTCTGGAGGGTAGGATTCCCAAATGGGGGGGCCACCCCAGGAACAGGACTAGCCAAGGCCAGGTGTTACAGGAATCTCAGCTGAGATACAGGACACTGAGGCAGTTCAGCAGGAAGCAACATTTTATTGTGCTGACACAGACTCAGCAGACTCGTGTCCAAAGGCTGAGCACGAGAACAAAGGGGTCTCACCTTATAAACCCTGCAAAAAGTTTACAGAAGCAAACAGCAAAGCTCAACCCACATATGGCTGCATGTGACTTCATTGGCTATTTCATTTCCCCAGTGCTATATGACCTTCATGTTTCAATTCTTTACATTTTCTCTCTCTGCTTTGCCATCCCTTCCCCCGATCTCATCAGAACACACCCTGTCTGTTTCTTTTCTGGCCCTCCTCCCTGCTACACAGGGAGATGCTGTGTGGCTACAGAGAGGGCCACCAAGGATGGCAGAGGAAGATGAGCAGAGGAAGGGTCTGAGCACTGTTCCTCAACTCCATCCCCCCACAACAGGCAGCCCATGAGCCCTTCAGTGAGAGTCCTGGCCACCGTCTACCCAGATGTCTTCTCTCTGTCACCATGTGGGGTAGGCCAGACAACCATCCTCAGTCACAGGCATGAGGCCCTTTGCAAGACGTGACCCACTTCTGGAGCTTCCTAAAGTCACCGTCGCTGGGGCCCCACAGCCAGCTGACTCCATAGCTGCTCTCCCATTTCCTTCAGGCACTTTTTCTTCCTCACCCCCTTGCTACTGGGGCCTGAGGGGAGAACAGACTGGAGAGAGAAGGATCTGGGGTCGGGGGAGGCCTGGTTTTAGATAGGTGGCAGTTAGACATAAGCAGTGGCCACAAGAAGAAAAAATCATTGTAATTCAACTTCCCAACTCCACTAACCTCTATTTAAGATCAGCAGAGCCAGGGGCTATCACAGGATTCTTTGAAGTCAGCCACGACCCTAAAGCTTACTTCACTCTTTACCCACAACTAATGCACACCCTAAACAACAACGAGGTCTGGAGCAGGGAAGTTTTTGTTTTTTTTTTAACAAGTAAATTAAAAAAAAAAAAAAACCAAACCTTCAAGTTAAATACAGCAAAGTTTACAAATTTCAAACAGAAATCTTTTATCAATTAGAGCAGGAACTAGCAGATTACATAACATCTCTCTTAACAAGACAATGACCCAAACCCAGGAAATCACTCCAGAGGCCAATATTTATTGAGTTTCTCAATAAATATTCCAACCTTAAATCCTGACCCCATTGAGGTGATCCACTTTCAGTGTGTTGAAAGGGTGTTCCTTTCCTAAGAAATTTTACTGTTACTTTTAGTATAATTCTTGTTTCTTGCTTGAATTCTCCTGTCGGGCATAAGAACCAAGAGAATTATCAAGCCTATTTTTCCGGTAACCCTCCCCTCCCCCAAGTCCCCTTCTTCTTGGGTCCCAGGAAAGGAGGCAGAAACCATGCCCACATAAACCTGGGACGGAGATCTTGTGCCCCATGCCTAGGCAGTGAGCTGACCCCAAGGCTGCCAAGTGGGCACCACATCTGTATTTCTTCACTGGATCTGTCAAAAGGTGAAATCACAACAATTCAGTTTAAAGATCTTGACTGGCTTGATTTTCAGTCCTAAAGCCAGGCATATTTCATCTCATAAAACAGAATGAGTGTTCCAAATAGCTCAACAGAGGTTGGTTTTATCGACAGAAAAGGGCTGAGCAAGAAAAACCAAAGAACAAAAGGCAGATTGGTCATCTCAAAGTTCCTTTGTTTGTGAAGTGTGGATAGGAAGACAGAATAGAAAATAACTGCTTGTTAACTTCGGGTTACCTTTTATTGTGTGAGGCTTGGGGCACAGGGGGCCTGTGTTTATTGGGCCAACTGACACTGGCCTATTTGAGAAATTCAGTGGTTCTCTCTCATTTCTCCTGGTTTCTTGGAAGGTGAGATAAACAGCTCACTTTGGGTTTGGTGATATAAAACTTTACATGAGTGACTCAGATTTGCATTTTAGTCTGTGCTGTTGAGGCCCAGCTCAGGAGCCTACTCCAAAACAATGGCCTCTGTAATTGTTATTTAATGATTCATTATAGAAGGCAGCATCGTGTAGCTATTAAAAACTCTAGATCAGTGCCTGGACAAGGTGGCTCACACTTGTAATCCCAGCTACTCGGGAAGTGAAGGTAGGAAGATTGAGGTCCATGCCTGACAAGCAAAAAATGCAAGGGCCTATCTCAAAAACACTATAAGCAAAAGGACTAGGGTCAAGTGGCAAGTGGGAGGCCCTGAGTTCTAATCCCAGTACTGAGAAAAGAAAAATAAACCATCTAGGTTGGTGATTATCAATAGGGGTGGTTTTGCCTCACAGAGGAGCCACCTCACACAGAGTCAACTTCACTGCTTAGCCATATGACCTTAGACAAGTTGTGAAGCTGAAACCAGAGTTTTGGACCCAAGGCCCAGACTCCTAAGATTCCATATGCCAGGCCTGGCCACCCGCCCATAAACGCCAAATAAAGAGACATGGTGAAGGCAGAGAAAGGAGGTTGATTATATGGCTTGGGCCATGCCATAGGAAGAGGCATAGTAAGCACTCAGCTCATCCTCAGCCATCTTTGGGGTATAGACAGGAGCTATAGGTTTAAGCAGACAAAAGAGCTGGGGACAGGGGACAAAGGTACACATAAACAGTGCCAGACACAGGTGTGGTCTGGTTGACCATTATCTCAGTCTGGGGAGTTCCGGATTCCAGGGAGAAGTTCTGGAGTTGTTATCTGGACTGATTGTCAACTGGCAGATGGTCCATCCTGAGGAAGGTCTACTGTTAGGTGTGCCATGAAGATGTTATCATCTGTTTTTCCTGTTCTTTCTTGATTCCAAGGTGGTTGTAAAGTGACTGCAAAGAGAATGGCTCAGAGCAAAGATAAAAATGGAGGACAGATGCCATGCTTTTCCCTTGCTATTGGTTAATTCATGGGTACAAGAGGAAGGCAGTGCTTTTGACAAAAAGCAGGTTAAGTACCTCTTACGGAACCACCCTGTGCTTTCATTTCCCCGTCTGTAAGGGGGAACAAGGACAGTAGCTGCCTTGCAAGGTTACTGTGTGGGCTAACTGAGCTACAACAGATAAGGTGATTGGCACGTGCCTAGGGTTTGATAGTCATCAGCTGCTGTTCTTTCATAAACTACTTCAAGAACACTTTGTAGCAGACCCACTCTAGGCCCAGCTGTCTTCAGAATGAGCAAAGCAAACAAGGTCCCTGCCTCATGAGGCCTACATTCTAAAGGGGGGGTGGCAAGTACTTAGATGCAGCTTTCCTAAGACTCCTCACCTGGGCCCACCAGGTAACTAAAAGCAGGAGAAAAGCCGGGCATCCCTGCCTCCATTTGGGCATCTGTCTCTTTGGCTCTGAGTTTCAGGAAAGACAGGTCTGATCAATAGCATCTTTATGAGGAGGACCGAAACTACTCCCAAGGACACAAACAGTAGAGCTCACGGGACAGATCACACTCAGCCCCCAAGTGAGGACAGTTACCTGTTAGGATGAGGCTGTACCCTGGAGCAGGAGTAAAATCATGCCTTGGGAACCAGATTGCTCCCCTCAAGTGATGATGGCTTCCCCAGAACCCATGCAGAACCAGAACCAGAACACTTTGCCTGGGACTGCCCTGCCTCTGTTAACAGTGCTGATGCAGTCTGTGATCAGAAGATTTCCAAATTCTTTGTATCCCACCTGAAAGAATCCATGGCAGGACACATGGGTATAAGTGGAGTTTATTAAAAGTTAGGGAAGGGAGATACAAAGGGTGCATGGTGGGTGCAGGTGGAATCTGCAGGCAGAGAGAGCTGCTGCTCTTCTCCAGGTGCTTTTAAAACTTACACTAACCTATGGGCAGGGAGGAACCAGGTGATCCCCATCCAGTAATCAATGAGTGGGGAGGGGCGTGGGTGGTTCCCGTCCAGGTGAGGGCAGTTCCTGAACCAAAGCACGGTTAATCTGAGATGCAATGTTTGTTTTTTTTTTTCTATGAGTCCCTAATTTAGCCTGCCTCACCTCTGGCCCCCTACCTCAATTCTTCCTCTATTTAAACCTAAAGTCCATGTCTGTACTCCCTTCCCACACACCAGCATATTAATAAATCTTTCTCTGACCTTCACCTCTACTATCTTTTAATTGGCATTTTGGGGCAAGTGGCTGAAACCCCTAGAGTTGAGCCTCTGGCCTAGGACTCTGGTTACAGAGAAAGGGGACTGTGCAGAATCATAAGTACAGGGAGAACTACCAACAGGGGGATACTGAGGCTGGGACATCCTGGATTGCTACAGTTTGGGTTTTAAATGTCCCCCCAAAGGCCCATTTGTTAGCCTGGTTCCCCAGGGTGACAATGTTGGGAAGTGATGGAACATGAAGAGGTGGGGCCTAGTGGGAGGTCTTCAGGCAGCTGGGGGTGCACTCTTAAAGAGGATAGTGGGTCCCCAGCCCCTTCCCCTTCCTCTTTTTCACTTCCCCATTCATGACATGAGCGGTTTTGCTCCACCACAGGCTCCTGCCACAATGTACTGTACCACACGGATGTCAGTCATGCACTGAAGCCTCCAAAACTGTGAACCAAAATAAGCCTTCTCTTTAGAGTTGATTGTCTCAGGCGTTTGTTACAGTGACAGAAAGCTGACTAACACACAGTTGGTGCAAGACGCCCATTATTAAAGATCACCACTTACCCACATGCAGATAGCCAGTGCTCTGTTGGGGAAGGGAGCAGGAAATGCTCTGAGGCAAGGTATGAAATGTAAGAGACTTCCAAAATTCAGAAATAGAGATAAATGACATCTCCATACATTTTTTTTGTAATGTTTTTTTCCGGTATGGGGTTTGAACTTACGGCCTATACCTTGAAACACCCCTCCAACCCTATTTTTGTGATGGGTGTTTTCAGCATAGGGTCTCAAGAACTATTTCCCCAGGCTGGCTTCCGACCTTGATCCTCCTGATCTCTGACCCTTGAGTAGCAAGGATTACAGGCGTGAGCCACCAGTGCCCAGCCCATGCAATATTTCTAAAGGCCAAAATTCATATAAAAATCTCTGGTGAACAAAATGTCAAACTCGATGAAGACAGGATGAGTATTACTGGTGGTTTCCAGGGTCTCGGGCTCAGATATTGTTGACTTTGGGCTTGTTGAGACTTACCAGTGAGGTATGAAAAGCCTCCAGCTCAAGAAAGGAAACAGCACAGCTATAGATTGATGGACTGGTTCCTGGGGAGACAAGCAATGGTTTGGTTAGATTCTTTGTTTATTTGTGTCTGTATTTGGCTGGTTGGCTTGTTAATCCTGGCCCCAACTCTGTGAAGGACATTTTGAAGGTCAGGGCACAGGGAAAACTTTGCCTCTGATCCACTAGTGTCCTTTGGTGAAAATGAATTTCATGATGGCAAATGACGACACCCGTCAGCATCTGGCTGGCCCCTCCCCAAGCTCCTGGTTCCCACCCTATGTTTAATGATCCAGTGTCTGTGCCAATTGTGGCCCCAGGCTTTGCTGGCTGCCTGAAGAGGTAGGTCGTTATTGTCCTGGTAGTATGAAGGCACCACCCAGCATTTATTGAGTTCCTGTGCCCATATACCTAGGTAACAAGCAGCCAACCTGGTTCCTGACCTCAAACTCACAACCCAGCTGCCAGCTGATTTGAATAGCTCCCATATTTCCAGATCCTGGCCATACCTCCCTCCAAGCTCCAGTCCCTTAGCCTACTACCTAGACACTGTCTCAATTTTTTGTGTGTGTGGTGCTGGGGCTTGAACTCAGGGCCTTTACCTTGAGCCACTCCACCAGCCTTTTTTCTGTGATTGATATTTTCAAGATAGGGTCTCTCGAACTATTTCTCTGGGCTGGCTTTGAACCACTGATCCTCCTGATCTCTGCCTTCTGAGTAGCTAGGATTACAAGGGTGAGCCTCCAGCACCCGGCCGTTGTTTATTTGTTGTGTATTTGTTCATTTGTTTATTTATTATTACTTTTTAGTGGGACTGGGGTTTGAACTCAAGGCTTTGCATTTGCAAAGCAGGTGCCCTACCCCTTGACCCACACCTCCAGGCACTGTCTCAATTTGACAAATCACCCTACAGCCACCTCCAATTCACCTGATAGAACCACAACTGGGCCTCCGCAGCACTGCCACACAGTTGTGAAAGCCAAAAATCTGGAGGTCATCCCGACACTATCTTTCTCTACCTTCCTCCTTCCAAAAGGCCACCAGTCCAGAGAATGTTAACTCCTAATTATCTTTCCAGCTAAGTGGCAGCTGTTCACCGTCTCTGCTACCACCCTGGACCAGCAGATCACAAACGTTTTTTATCTACAAGAGCCCTCTATACTATGAAAAAAAAAAATGGAGGGGGTCAGTACTGGGACTTGAACTCAGGGCCTCCCACTTGCTAGACAGGCATTCTACCACTTGAGCCACTCTACCAGCTCATCTGAAAAATTATTGAGGCCCCCCTCCCAAAACCTTTTATTTGTGTGGCTTATACCTGAAATTGTATTACTGGTTGTTATATTCAAAACAAACACTTAGGAAAAGTTTAAATAATTATTTATTAATGCATTTAAAAATAATTGTATTGGCAATTTCATTTTGGGTATATACCAAAAAGAATTGAAATCAGATACTGAAGAGATATTTGCACACCTACATTCACAGCAGCATTATTCACAATAGCCAAACGGTAGATGAATAAATAAACATGTGGTATAACCATACAATGAAATATTATTCAGCCTTCAAAAGGAATAAAGTACTGATACATTAGAATTTGAGTGAACCTAGAAAACACCATGCTAAATGAAAAAAGCTGGACATAAAAGGTGAAATATTGTAATATTCCCTTTGTATGAAATGTCCAGAAGAGGCAAATCCATCAAGACAGAGATTAGTGGTTGCCAGTGAGGAGGAGCTGGGACCGAGCAGTGATGGGGTGTTCTTTTAGAGTGATGAAATGTTTTGAAACTACAGAGGAGTTGATGGTTGAACAGCATCAAGAATGCACTAAAACGGCTAATATCAAGTTATGTGATTTTTGCCTCAATAAAAAAATGGAAGTCCAGCATTGTGGTACATGCCTGTAGCCTCAGCTTCTTGGGGGACTAAGGTAGAAGATCACTTGAGCCCAGGAGTTGGGGACTGTCCTGCACCATGCTGGTCGGCATGTCAGTTCGTGACCTCCAGGATCACGGGACCACCAGATTGCCCAAGAGAGGGTGAAATGGCCCAGGTTGGAAACCAAGCAGGTCAAAACTCCTGTGCTGAGAAAGAGAGAGAAAGACTGAATGGAACTGTCTGATTAATAGAATATACTTAGAAATAATTTAGGTCAGTTAATGGGATAACTCTGACCTATATGTTTTAAAATGGTTAGCTGAATGTTCTATGAATGTCACTAGATTTTTGAAAAAGAAGGGAAATAAAAAGAGAGACGGATCAGAGGAGGTGACTCAAACAGGTCCTTGGGGTGAGGATGTAACTCATGACCTAGAAACAGACAAGGCCCTGTCTCACTGCCAGGAAGGGGAATTGGTAATAGAATGTTTGCCTAGCAGTCACAAGACCATGGGTTCTATCCCCTGCACCACAAAAAAATAAAACAAAAACAGATCCTCAAAGAACAGAAACCAGAGTTTCTGGTGGGAAGGTGGGAGGCAGAGGGGACCAGGGGCCCAGATAAGTCAGGGCAAGAATGTTGGGCTGAGTGGGAACGCAGGGAGGAGGCAGGGAGAGGAGCTAGGCAGGTACGCAGGTGGAAGGGTCTGCAGCTGAGTGGTGGGGCCTGGCACAGGGTGTGACTGGCTGGCCCAGGAAGATGTCACAGGTACCACCCCATGGAGCAGGCTCCCTTCAGGCCCAGCTTGATTCCATTTTCCTGCAGTCAAACCCTTATCAGGCCTTATCATAGCATCTGCAATGATGTTTATTTATTGCACAATTATTACCCACACTCATACCAAGTGACTCATGACCTAGAAACAGACAAGGCCCTTTCTCACTGCCAGGAAGGGGAGTTGGTAATATTTGGCTCATTTGGGCAGGTCCTTTCCAGTCACTCCTCAGCTGGGCTAGGGCTTCCCCATGCCACCAGCAGCCTCTTTTTCTTTGTTCCTGCGGAGCCTTGCACCCACCCAGGACCCCATGCACCTGGAGAGACTTCATGGGAAGTGAGTGCTGCGTCTCTAAACCTCAATCATCCAGGACTCAAAGCCCATCAGATGTTATGTTCAGTGTCACAAGCCTTTGCCCTCTGATACAGAAGACACAGGGACAGTGACTGCTGCTTCTGGTGGTAGGTCGCCAGTGTGCCAGGCTCAGTGTTTGAGCCTGCACTGGTGTCCATTCCATGGGGATGACATGGACAGTGCCATTCTGCCAAGCACTGCAAACTAGCTAAAAATCCATCCGCCCTCCAGGAAAGCCTGCAAAGTTGACAGAGTTAAATATGAGTGGGTGGTGTACATTATTAACTGAGGAGGACGAAGGTCAACCGTGTGGAATTTGAATTAGGGTGAGGAGGGTGTGGCTGAGGGGGACAAGGAGTACCAGGGATGTTGGACCTGGGGCTGTGCCCAGGACAGGAAGCAATGGTACTGGACATTCCAGGCAGAATAGAGATATATTGTAGAGGGTTTTAAATGCCAGACAAAGGAGTGTAGGTGACAAGAATTTGTGAGTAACAAGAGATTGGAGTTCCTGAAAAGGAAACCAGGGGCAGATGTGCTCTGGGCTCCAGAACTGCCTCCCCCAGATGCAGGAGTGAGGTCAACACAGCCAGGACAGCGCTTCCCCTGCATGGGCGGAGCGGGGCTTGCAGAAAACCTCAGAACCTGGTGCTTTGTCATAGGCTAGGACTAGGAGAGAGTAACCAAAATAAATCATGTTTTAATTTTTTTTTTAATTTTATGCTCCAGACCCACTTTGAACAAAGTGTCACATTTTAAAATAAAGATAATATCTCGCATAGCATAGCTTCTCTGCTTCCACCCAATCCTGGTTGCAATGGGGGACCAGGCTCTGGGCTTCTCCACAGGTCTCCACACGACTGGGCTGTGTGTACAAGCTCTTCAGAGTGTGGCCAAGAGGTGGGACCCTCCATGTCCCTTGGCTCCCCAGGGGACACACAGTGCCTTCTTGTACAATCAGAGAACATTTTTTTGGTGGAGTTTCTCTGACCCACAACAAGGGAAGTAACCAAAGTGGCTAAACAGGACAACCCGGTCAACAATGAACTAACAAGAGGACCAAGATGACATCACAATCCAACCAAGGCTGCCTCGATGGTTGAACTTTGTCAAACAGACTCACACCTGTTGAATAAAAACTACAGGAAGCCATTGCTTTGGACTAAGCTCCTGCACACCAGGCTACAAAGCAAAATGGAGTCACTCACACTAAAGTTCACCAAGCTCAAACTAAGCTGTTCATCTGGCCTTCTGAGAAATAGGGTTAGAGAGAGAACAGTCAAATTTCCCAAACAGGCCAGTTTCATTTTACAAAGTCCCCTCTGTCTTAATCCCCACCCCCCTACACCCACACACACACAAAAAAAAGGAAGCTGAAAGTAAGGTGATGCTGACCAATCAATGATTTTTCTATTGTTCTGTTCCCCTATCCCCCTCCTTGCAAGGAAAGTAACTTTGAAATAACTGCTCCAAATAAAGGAAATGCAAATTAAAACCACGCTAAGATTCCACCTCACCCCTGTTAGAATAGCCATCATCAGCAACACCACCAACAACAGGTGTTGGCGAGGATGCGGGGAAAAAGGAACCCTCAACCCTCTTACACTGTTGGTAGGAATGTAGACTAGTACAACCACTCTGGAAAAAAATTTGGAGGCTACTTAAAAAGCTAGACATCGATCTACCATTTGATCCAGTAATACCACTCTTGGGGATATACCCAAAAGACTGTGACACAGGTTACTCCAGAGGCACCTGCACACCCATGTTTATTGCGGCACTATTCACAATAGCCAAGTTATGGAAACAGCCAAGATGCCCCACTACTGATGAATGGATTAAGAAAATGTGGTATCTATACACAATGGAATTTTATGCAGCCATGAAGAAGAACGAAATGTTATCATTCGCTGGTAAATGGATGGAACTGGAGAACATCATTCTGAGTGAGGTTAGCCTGACCCAAAAGACCAAAAATCATATGTTCTCCCTCATATGTGGACATTAGATCAAGGGCAAACACAACAAGGGGATTGGACTTTGAGCACATGATAAAAGCGAGAGCACACAAGGGAGGGGTGAGGATAGGTAAGACACCTAAAAAACTAGCTAGCATTTGTTGCCCTTAACGCAGAGAAACTAAAGCAGATACCTTAAAAGCAACTGAGGCCAATAGGAAAAGGGGACCAGGAACTAGAGAAAAGGTTAAATCAAAAAGAATTAACCTAGAAGGTAACACCCACGCACAGGAAATCAATGTGAGTCAATGCCCTGTATAGCTATCCTTATCTCAACCAGCAAAACCCCTTGTTCCTTCCTATTATTGCTTATACTCTCTCTTCAACAAAATTAGAGATAAGGGCAAAATAGTTTCTGCTGGGTATGGAGGGGGGGAGAGGGAGGGGGCGGAGTGGGTGGTAAGGGAGGGGGTGGGGGCAGGGGGGAGAAATGAACCAAGCCTTGTATGCACATATGAATAATAAAAGAAAAATGAAAAAAAAATAAAATAAAATAAAACCACTTTTGCTTCCATGAAAAAAAAAAAAAAAGAAAGAACTGCTCCACTTTTTGGTTTTTTGGTTCTGCTCTTATAGCCCTTCAGCCAGTCACAGCATTTTTTTTTAATGGAATGGAGGGCTGCCTAACTCTAGAATTAAAAATACAGCCAGTTAAAATCTTTAAGTTGTTGTAATTTTGTCATTTAAAACCTATCTCTCCCTCAATCCAGTCATCCCTCCTTCTGTCCATTCACCCATATGTGAGTCATATTGCAATCACTCAACCAGTTAACCAACTCTCTAGCTACCTAGGATGTAAACTCAGCACATGGGTGCGGTAAGAACGCAGAGGGGCCCACATTTGGATGAGTCCCCATTTGGGCGCCATGTTCAAGATCGTGCTATATGCATTTTATATGTCAATATAACCATCTTGGAAGGCAAAGACACTTGCTCCTTTTACAGACAAGGAAACTGAGACCAACTGAGGGCAGACCACTGCCCACTGAGGGCTTAGGTCACATCTGCGCTAAACAGTGATCCCCAACTCACCAGGCCAGTGCCTTCCACACCTTACCTCCCCAGGGCCTTGACCTTCTGGAATGATCTACAAACATAGGTCACCATGGAACCAGCACAGGGGCAGTTCTGGGGCATGAGGTCCAATATGCAGGGCCCTGAGTCCTGCCAGAAGGCATAAGGGTGAGGCACTCCCAGCCCACCTGGCGGGTTGGACATCTGCAGTGGGGGGAACACCTTCATCCCGAGGCCAGGGACTTACTTTCCAAATAGTAACCATGCAGGGTCACTTGTAAGACATTTGCCTCAAAGCACAGGTAGGATGGTCACATCCAGGTGCTGGTTCATATATCAAAAAGGATCTGCTTTATCAGAAAGTACAGATGGTCCTCTACTTTCATAGGTTGAAAATATCCTAAGTCAAGACTGAATTTAATGCACCTAACCTACTGAACATCATAGCTCAGCCTAGCCTGCCCTAAATGTGCTGAGAACCACTTATATTTGCCTGTGGTTGGGCAATATCACCAACCACAAAGCCTATTTCATAACACAGCATTCAATAACTTGTGCCGCGCATGGACTACAGTGCCCTATAGAGGGCCAGCTGTTTCCCCTCATGAGTCAGTGGCTGACTGGGAGCTTCAGTCTTCCCACCTCCACCATCAACACAACAGCACTGAAGACTGCCAACCCAGGAAAGGATGAAAATTCAAAATCAGGGCCCAAAGCAGCAGCTCAGGCCTGTAGTCCTCACTACTTGGAAGGCAGAGATTCAGAGGAATGCAACCACAACAACAACAAAAAAGTTCTTGACACTCCATCTCAACCAATGGCTGGCCACAGAGGTGCATACCTCTCATCCCAGCTACTCTGGAAAGCACAAATAGATCACTGTCCATGCAGCCTTGGACATAAACGGAGACCCTATCTCAAAAATAACCAACACAGGCTGGTGGAGTGTCTGAAGTGGTAGCACACTTGCCTAGCAAACATAGGCCCTGAGTTCAAACTCTAGTACTGTCAAAAAAAATAAAAGTAAGTGGGTGCCAGTGACTCACGCCTGTAATCCTAACTACTGGGGAAGCTGAGATCAGGAGGATCTTGGTCAAGGCCTGACGTGAGCTTTTTCTTGCTCCCTTGTTGGAGCGAGCTTTCTCTCGCTTCTGGTTATTACTGAACCTAACTGGGGGCAACTGGAGATGCAGAAAAGACACAGGATAGACAGACAGACAGAAAGTTGGGGCCAGGTGTGTTGGGCACTCGGGTGCAGATGCACAACTGCCTCACTGCTTTTTTTAATCTCTATTAATCTCTTCTCTTTACTCTCCTTTTCTCTATCTTTATTCTTTAAGGTCTTACTCCTTTACAATTCCTTAAAACCTTGCTTCTAAAGTCTTTCCTTAAAACCTTGCTTTTAAAGTCTTCTTTTCTGCTCTTTAAAGTCTCTTTCCCTACACTCACTCTGTCCCATGTTTTCTTTAGCATAATCTCTCTTAAAGTCTTTGCCCCCAGACTTGTACTGTCCCATGTTCTCTTTAGCTTTTCTAAAGCCTATGTATAAAGTTCTCGGTGTAGACTTTCTATCAACTCCTCTTTAGCAATTCCCCTTTAGCAATTTCCCTTCAGCAATTCTTTTCCCTTCCTAAAGCCTCCCACATAAAAAGCCAAAAGCACAAAAGCCTCAAGCAAAAGCCAGAAGCAAAAAACCCCAAAGCAAAAAGCCTGTGTACTCCTTCAGTGAGTCTTTTATATCCAGTGGTAAACAGGGTGGAGCAGCGGTTCTGGTGGAGGGCATGACATTGTAACAGGAGAAACCTGCATTCCTGCTTCTCTGAACATAAGCAACTTAGGAGAAGCAGCTGTTCTGCATTTTCCTCTTCTGTGGCCAGGGCTGTGCCAATCTCAGCCTACAGAAACATCTTAGGAAAAACAGTTGAGCTGCATCTCACCTTGCTTATGTCCAGTTCTCATAATCCAGTCTCCACAAAGGCCAGTCAGGGCAAATAGTTTATAAGATTCCCATCTTCAAAGCACAATGGGCTGGAGGTGTGGCTCAAGCAGTAGAGTGCCTGCTTTGCAAGAGCTAAAGCCCCAAGTTCAAACCCCAGTCCCACCAAAAAATAATAAACAGTAAATAAATAAGTAATAACCAACACAAAATGGGCTGGTGGCATGGCTCAAGTGGTAGCACATCTAGTAAGCATACACCCTAAGTTCAACCCCCAGTAATGCCAATTTTTTTTAAATTCAAAATTCCTACTGATTGCTCATAGCCTTCCCACCACCATAAAGTTGAAAAATTTTAAATCCAGCCAGTGTAAGTGGGGACCATCTAGGCTGTGAAGCTTCTGTGGAGCTGACCACTGATGCCTGCACACTCAGTGTGATAGTGCTGCACTGACCCCATGAGCGATGGGAAGTTGTCCTGAGGCTCTTGATGCACATTTCTGAGCCTGATGCAACTCCTCTATTCAGACACAAGGGTCAAATCTTACATGACTTCAGGAATCTGCAACCCCAGTGCCTGAGAGGCAGGATCTGGGCTGAGAACTTTTGAGAAGGGAGAGCATGAAAGAGGCCAAGACAGGAGGAACTCCAGTTTGACATGGCAAGACCCTGCCTCAAACAAATAAAAACAAGCTTTGGGCTGCAGTAGAAGCTATAGCAGCACAGCAGTAGGTCCAAGCTGGGTTCAGCCTCCCTCCACACCACCTGGGAACGTTTCCTTTCCCGTTTCCCCATACGTCCTCCGTTTCCCCATATTCTGTAAAATGCAGTCAAGACCGTGCCATTTTGCAAGGGTAGTGATGCAAGTGAGGGACCTGGCCCTGCGGTGCGCGACCTGGGTCAGGGCCATCCAAGGCAATCGCAGCAGCAGAGTTCCTTACTTTGAAGTGTGTGTTGTCCTGTTTCGGTCACATGCAGACCCTTATGTATCAGCTTCCTCCTTCAGATTTGCGACATACAGAAAGTGTCCCTGTAGGTACCGGTGTGACGTGCCCGACAGACCAATGCGTGTCGGAGACGAGTGGTCGGTACAGCCCGCACAGACTGTCTACTTCCCCTAGCTGTTAGTTCACTCCTAGCCGAGGGACAGCCAGGGAGATGTGGTTTATAAGGACGGAGGACGGGGGCTCTGGAGGTGGGGACTGGCAGGGGGCTGGAGAAGTCAGGCTGAGGGCCATCCTGTCATCGGTGCCAGGCGGTCCCCGCCAGAAGGGTCCAAGAAGTCCTTCCTTCCAGAGAAAAGAAGGGGAGCGCTGTGGCCAGGGTTGGGGGAGAGGCGGGCGTAAGCAGGGGTGGGAAAGCGGCGGCAGGGACGTCCGGCGAGTCGGCTCCTGGACTTTGTAAGAGGTGCAGAGCCGCCTCGCCCCCGCCTAGCCACGCCCTCCCTCTTAGCCACGCCCCTAGCCTCGCGTCCGCCCCTAGCCACACCTCCCTCGTGGCCACACCCCCTAGTGGCCACACCTCCCTCGTGGCCACACCTCCCTCGTGGCCGCGCCCCTCCCGCACCCGGACCGCGGCTCCCGCCGCTACCTCCGCCCGTCCCGAGCCAGTGCCGCGCCGCCGCCGCCGCCGCCGCGATGTGGGCTGTGCTGCCGCTGCTCTGCGCCGGAGCTTGGCTTCTGGGCGCCCCGGCCCGCGCCACCGTCGAGCTGTCCGTGAACTCTCTAGGTATGTCCGGGGTCGGGAGAGCTTGGGGGTGCTGGCACTGTGGGGTTGGGAGGAACCGGGTAAGGGTTCCCCAGGGCCCGGGCCCGGGGGCGATGCGTGCTGAGATGGAGGTCTGGGGCGGTCGACTTCATGATGGACTGGGTGTCCAGGGTCCCACTTGTCCACATGGCGCCAGAGCGTAGAGTACCAAAAAGTTCCCAGCCCCTTCTGCCCTACGCCCTCCAATTAAGACAACTGGGACACAGAGGACAGACTCTGGTCAGCTCCTGCTATGGGCGAGCAGGGTGCCTTGGGGGTTTTCCGTAGAATATTGGGACAGTGACTCCTTGTGCAACAGCCCTAAGGAGCACACTGGAACCGCAGGAGTTTCAACAGACCTGCAGTAGGTTCGCGTCCCGTGATGCGAACTCCAGAGCTCCGCTGCGGGTCAGGTGATGGGCCGGTCCTGCACGCCATGGTCCCAGCCTCAGCCCGCAGGCTCTGAGCACGCAGGACCATCTGCCCCCTTCACTCTGGGCACAGAGAGGAGTAGCCACGATCAGCCTGGGGACGGGCAGAGCTGACTGAGGCTGAGTCTTGCCTGGTCAGACTCTTGCCTCTTTCCTTCCCTGGGCTCCAGGTTAGTCCGGATTAAAACCCAGCTGCCCCCAGGCCTGGGCTTTGCTTTACTTTGGCACCCAGCCTGCGTGGAGGAGGCTGGCGCAGAAAAGCTGCCTTAACTCAAAGCAGGGCTTAGCAGACTTCTCTGAAAAACCAGCTAGTAAATATTTTGGCTTTGTGGGCCACTTGATCTTTGTAGCAACTATTTAACTCTGTCTTTGTAGGAGGAAAGCAGCCACAGACGGTATGCAAATGAACAAACGGATTTTTTTTTCTAATAGATGTTTATTTATGGACACTGAAATTTGAATTTCAAGTGATTTTCAGGTGCTACAAGATATTTCTATTTTCCCCCACCCCCAGTTGTTTAAAAGTATAAAATGCCTCTGGAAGTCCCTGGGTATAAAAACAAGTGGCAGGCTGTGGTTTCCTGATCTCTTGCTGTAAATCCTGTCCAGGAAGGTACATAACCATAATTCTTTAAAAAGTCATAATTGGGCTGGAACAGATCTGTTTGAGGTTGAGGCATGGATCAAGCAGACCTGCTGCCTTTTCTTCACTGACCTCCTAAGAAGTAGTAGTCCTGGGGTTTTCACACCTTCTTGTTGCTCTGGAAACCCCCCAGAGACACACAGGTCAGTTCTGAACTCCATCCTGCTGCAAACCCTGGTCCTAAATTGAGGTCTGGCTTCTCTGAAGGTGTCAGCTGCAGCAAGCCCTTAACCAAAATTTGGAATCCCCTGAAATGCTACTCCATAAGTATGTTGACGAAGGAGGCATTTTTCCCCCAGCTTGGTTTCTGGAACAGATCTGGGACCCACAGGGAGACCCTAAGTGCTGAACAGCAGTAGTGATCTTCACACTGTGGTGTGGGTCTCTGAAGAACAGGCACACATTACCATGATACCAGCACAGATGGTATTAGGAAATCTAATTCCAGACCCTTAAAACTGAAAGTGTCTGAAGTTAGGAGGGACCCTTGCCTCTCATTCATCCCGAGCCTGACCCCTTGGATGTAAAAACATCCCTGGCAAGCTAACATAAAAGTAAATGTTGACAAATCCTTCCATCTGGTGTTCTCCCTTCCTCAAGGAAACTGAAATTGATGGAGGAAGACGCCCCTCACCCCCAGCTATCAGTGGATGAATCTTAGAAACACTATTGAGTGATAGAGTACTTTGTGATTTGGAACATAGGAAGGAGTGAAAAGAATTGAGCAAAGCCCAGCATAGTGGTGTACATCTACAATCCCAGCATTCAGGAGATGGAGGCAGAAGGATCCTGAGTTCAAGGCCAGACTGAGCTACATAGTGAGATGTTGTCCCAAAAAAAAGGAGTTGAATGACGAATGACATTTCTCTAAAAAACTGTCTTCTAGACTAGGTACAGTGTATCTGTGTTCCATCTACTCGGAAGACAGAGATCTGGAAGATGAAGTCCGAGCCCAGCTCAGGCAAAAAGTTCAAGAGAACCCATCTCAACCTACAAAAAGCTGAGTGTGGAGGCACAAACCTGTCATCCTAGCTAGGTGGAAAGCATAAAAAGGAGGCTGGCAGTCTAGTCAAACCAGGCAGGAATTGAGACTGTGTTCAAAGAGTAAGTAAAGCCAAAAGGGCTGGAGACATGGCTCAGATGGCAGAGCACCTTCCTAGCAGGCTCAGGGCCCTGAGTTCAAACCCCAGCACTGCCAGAAAGGAAAAAAGCCTTCTATTTTCAGCTGTCTGTTTAAGCAAGATTTCTCAGCCCCTTGACCTTAAAAAAAAAAAAACAAAACCATAATTAATGTTGCCCTTTGCCTCAACTAAACAATAGGTAATGTTCTTTCATGAATATATAAATCCATGAGGGTGGGAGCCAGTGAAGTCCTGTTTATCGCATTGGGAGGCATTTCCAATGAAATTTTATATTTTAGATTGAACAATTACTTTTCATGGCTGGGGGTGTAGCTGCATAGTAGAGTGCTTGCCTACCCAACCCCCCAAAAAAGAAAGACAGTTTCTTTTCATAATGTATAATATATTTGAAACGTTTTAATCAGTTGGGGGTGCTCATAATAATTATAATGGTATTCAATCCAGAATAAAGTTTTTATGATCTTCAAGAAGTAAAAATAATTTAAATCGATATGTTTTGTTGTTGCAAAAAGGAGTATAAACTGATCGATTATAAAAAAAAATGCTCCCATAGATTAAAATTCTGTAGAGTGGAGAGATAGATGTTTAAGGAGAAAAAGAAACTGTAAAATACTCAACTCTCGTTGTTGATTTTTTTTTGGCAGCTCTGGTATTTGAACTTAGGGTCTCATGCTTGCTAGGCAGGCGCTCTGCCACTTGAGCCACTCCACCAGCCATAAAACATTCAACTCGTACAGAAGAGTTTACTCGTGCCACTGTGGTAGATATGAAATTATGATAGCATTTAGACTACATTGGCTAGCTTTAAGAATAATATGAAAAGCTGGGTGCCGGTGGCGCACACCTATAATCCTAGCTACTCAGGGGACAGAGATCAGGAGGATCTCAGTTCAGCATTTTTTTTTTTTTTGCAGGACTGGGGCTTGAACTCAGGGCCTCACACTTGCTAGGCAGGCACACTATCACTTGAGCCACTCCACCAGCCCAGGATCGCAATTCAAAGCCAGCCAGGGTAAATAGTTCATGAGACCCTGTCTTGAAAAAAAACCCTCACAAAAATAGAGCTGGTGAAGTAATTCAAGGTGAAGGCCCTGAGTTCAAGTCCCAGTACAACCAAAAAAAAAAAAAAGAATGACAGTCTTATTTTAAATGTCAGTGTTTACAATAAGTTGGAATACATCCTTTGCAATTATTTAAAATGAAATGAAATTTTTATTTTAAAATGAAAATTTTATTTAAAATGAAAATTTTAGCTAGTGTGCAAGGGCGTATAGTAGGAATCCACAAACAACAGGCCTGCTAGAACACAATTATACCCATTTACTTCCTACCGACTGTGGCCTCTTTTAAGATACAAAGATGAAAGCAGTGTGGCAGAAGCCCTAGAGATTACAAAGGTCAAGATATTTACTATTGCTGGGCATGGTTGTATATGCCTATAATCTCAGCACTCAGGAGACTGAAGCAGGATGATCATGACTTCCAGGCCAGCCTGCACTATTAGGTGAGATCCTGCTTCAAAAAACAAAAGCAAAATATACTTACTTTGTGTCCCCTTTTGAGAAAATATTTGCTGACCCTGGGGGTATATGGGTTTTTAGTTCACTTCTTATTGAAATATAACACCATTTAAAGAAAAGCACAGATCATTCAATATGAGTTTCACAGTTGAAGCATACTCATGCTGGGCTCAGTGGCTCACGCCTGTAATCCCAACTAGTCAGGAGACAGAGATCAGGAGGATGGAAGTTTGAAGCCAGCAGGGGCAAACAGTTTGCAAGCCCCTATCTCAAAAATACCCAACACATAGGCTGGTGGAATGACTCAAGTGGTGGGTATGGCACCTGCCTAGCAAGCACGAGGCCCTGAGTTCAAACCCCAGTACAACAACAACAACAACAACAAAAAAAAAATATATATATATATATATATATCTCCACCACAAAACAGGGCTGGCAGAGTGGCTCAAGCGGCAGAGTGCCCGCCTAGCAGGTGTGAGACTCAGTTCAAAAACCCCAGTACCACCAAAAAAAAAAAAAAAGAAACATACTCATGTAATCTGCACCCCAATAAAACAATAGAACATTTCCAGCATTGCAAAAGTTCTCTCCAAGCACTGCTGGAAATAACCACTATCCTGACTTCTAACACTGGAGATTTTATCCTTTGGGTGGGGCTGAGAAAGGTAGAGCGTGTGTTTATTAACACTCACAAGGTCTTGGGTTCAACACCCAGCACCAAAAAAAAAAAAGTATAGTTTTGGGGTACAAGGCAGAAAGAGTTTGGGTTCCTCTTTGCACTCAGTGTTAGGTAACATCATCTCTGGTATTTTAAATTAAGCCTGATTTTCTAAAATGCCATCGCTAATGAGTCCTACCTGACTTTAGACTCAACACTCAGACCTAATTTTTCTTTCTTTTTTTTTTTTTCACAGAGAAGTTTCACTTTAAGTCATGGATGGCACAGGTCAGTGCCCAACTTCTTCTTTTTCAGTTTTCTCATTTCACAAAGTTTCCTGTTACTGAGTAGGAAGCCTTAAGTTCAAACCCCAGGACTGCCAAAAAAAAAAAAAATTTCCAGTTATTAAATCAAACTGTACCAGATTTGAGATAATGAAGAGGTATTGGCCAAACTCGACCCACCCCAGATTCAAATTGGCCAAACACTAGGAAAGACTCAGTTAAGTAAAAACCTTCCAAATTGTGACTGGAGGCCTTGCTAGCCTTAGAGTTTATTTCCATATTTTGTATTCAAAGCACCTGGTACAGTAGCTGCAAAGACAACTGGGGAAGCCCAGGGTATGCACTTTTGAAAAATGGTGGTCATGAACTTGGCTGAGTTATCATGATGAACCCAGGGCCCTCGGATTCTTAGCTGACTCTCAGGCAGCTGTGTGGTCTTCATTCTGGCTACAGGTCCCTGCAGGCAGGGGTTCACTTTCTAATTTCCCAAAATTACAAAGAGACCCAGAACAGTGTCCCACCCATCAACCCAGACTTGTCCTGCAAATCATGGCAAAAAGAAAACCTCCATCCCTCCTCTCTAAAAACAAAACAAAAAAAGCCTCCCCTCAGGTGAGCTGCATCCTGTTTGCATGACTTACTGCAGATGTGTTTTGTTTCAGCACCGAAAGACTTACAGCTCGGAGGAGTACCCCCACAGGCTACAGATGTTTGTCAGCAACTGGAGGAAGATTAATGCCCACAATGAAAGGAACCACACATTCAAAAGTACCATGGGGACAGGGACGCCTTCCTGCAGGCTTCTCAGAAGGAATGGGAGGGCACGCCTTCAATCTAGAAAGAGATCAATTAGCAACAAAGGCCGATGGAAGGGCCCAGGCAGGGTCCAGGGGTGTGGAGAGCAGAGACACAGACTCTGAGGCTGTTCCTGGCTGGCCTCTGATGGTGGCTTTGCTGTGGGATGCAGGATTGTAAATTTAGGACAGTGCTAGGTGGTTGTGAAGTATATAAAGAGACCATAGAAGCCCCTCTCCTGTTCCTGCCATCCAAGGAGCCACGCTACCTGCTGGGCTCTGTCTTTTGATCACTGTGGGCCCAGTGCCTCTCAGAGACTGCTCTGTACTCTGGGAACATCCACCATCATTTCTGGTTTGTGTCAGTACACACACACACACACACACACAAAACATGTTATTGAGGACTCAGAAGTGATGGCCATTCAGCTAAGTCAACACTCTGAGCAACAAGCAGAAGCTGGAAGGAAAGTTAGGTTTGAGGCTCATTTCTGCCTAGTGCTAACATGTGACCTCGGGGTCACAGGTTAACATGGGCTGTAAGTGGAGCTAACACTGTCCTCCTCACTGGGCCACTGTGGTACAGGTGGGAAGGCGCTTGCACAGGTGTAGTGGTTCTTTACCTGGGTGGCCATCAGACTCACCAGTGTGGAATGTAAAACAATAGCTCCCAGGCCCCACCCCAGACCAGCTGCATCCATCAGCATCTCGGGGCACAGCCCAGACATTTGTACTGCTGAAAAGACTCCCAGGCATTTCCAAAGCACAGCAAGGGTTGACATTGGTATATTGAATCATATTAAATTAAAATATTTAAAGGAGCCAAGTTACAGCAGCTATAGATAGAGCACAGGTGGATAAGAGGTTTTATTATTTTTTCTCTTTCTTTCTTAGTGATTCACTAAGTTCCTCTATTTCCTTTTTTTTTTTTCTCCTTTTCTTTTGCAGTGGCACTGAACCAGTTTTCAGACATGAGCTTTGCTGAGATAAAGCGCAAATATCTCTGGTCAGAGCCTCAGGTAGATATAATTCATTGCACCCAAGTCTGTATCCTTTCACTTAAATCTTTGGAATAAGTTTTGAGCTTCATTGCATCCAGCCAGATTCAGTCCTATCCCACTCATGCTAGGGGTGTCCCCAGATTCTTTGGAGGAAGCAGCAGGGGTTCCCTCAATCCAGGATGCTGGCTTTAGCAGTGTGAACCCCTGATTTAAGATTAACCAGATAAAATACAGGTGCCCAGTCAAAACTGAATTTCAAATAAACAGCATAATGTTTTAGTGTAAGTATATTCTCAATATTATACAGGATGCCCTTATACTACATTTCACTAACTTCGATAAATAAAATACATTCATTTATCTGAAACTCAAATTCAACAACATGAACCATATTTTTACTGCTAAATGTGGCTACCCTTTCCTGTCTCCCCCAGCCTGGCTCCCAAGGGAATGTGTCATTTAGCATTTGGGACCTATAGACAGGGGAGTGACAGTTCTGACACTCATTCTCATTTCCCCCTGGTGGTTTTTTCCTTTTTTTTTTTTTTTTCCTTGGCCAAGAGATGTCTTTGTTCTTTTTTCCTGAAAATAATTTATTTGGTTGTTCCAGAATTGCTCAGCCACCAAAAGTAACTACCTTCGAGGTAGTGGTCCCTACCCAACCTCTGTGGACTGGCGGAAAAAAGGAAAATTTGTCTCACCTGTGAAAAATCAGGTATGCATGGGCTCCCCAAACTTTTTTCTCATAACAGCCATGTTCTCAGATAAGATACCAGGATGGAAAACCCAAAAAGCTCCACAGAGCCCCCGCCAGTATGCCCCCAACTCTACTTCTGCTTACTGTCTCTCTAGCTCTCTTCCTTGGCAAGGCCAAGGAGCGCATTACGTCCTCAAGGTCCAGCTGCTCTGCGGATGGACAAGTTCCTCTTATTGGGTTAAAGTTTACTTCCAGCCCCTCCACCACCACTACCATACGCCCAGTTTCCCCATGGGCCCCACATCTCTCCTGTGGAATCACTCAAACATGTTCCCAGTCCCCAGCAGAGACTGGACACTGGGACCCCATTCCTGCCTCCCTCAAATCTCCAATCCCTCATCCACTCCTCAGGGTACCAGGCTACTGCCCTGTCCCCGGCTGGCAGCCTTTCTTGGGTGGTTGCAGGTGGTCAGTGGGTGGAATGTAGCCCACCATTTCCCACATGTGCACTATGTCCTCTCCCTGGGGCACAGCACCCCTGTAGGGCACAGTGAACTTGGCCAGGTTGAGGACCCTGCCTTCCCCACACTTGCTAGGAGATCTTGGCACATTCTCTCTTCCAGAACCTGGACCCCAAGCCCTGACGTTCCCTCTTCCTGTGGTGGTCCCTCCCTCTCATGGCAGTGCAGTGGCCCTCTTCAGAAAGACGCTGACTCTCAGGCCAGGCACCAGGGGCTCACGCCTATAATCCTAGTTACTCAGGAGGCAGAGATCAGGAGGATCGCAGTTCAAAGCCAGCTCGGACAAATAGGTCACAAGACCCTATCTTGAAAATACCCAACACATAAAAGGACTCAAGGTCAAGTTATAGGCCCTAAATTCAAACCCTAGCACTGCACAAAAAAAAAGAAGAAAGAAAGACGATGCTGACTCTTCATTCTAGAAAAAAACAAGGTCAAGGTTTCCTTCCTGAAAACGCTTGACTTTCCACTGAAACTCTCCATAAGAAAATTTTTTTCCCTTTCCCAAAAAAAAATCACATGACACAGCTCATGTCCTCCCAGGCTTGTCACGTTCTACATGTCTAAACCAGCCCAGAAGCCTAAACAAATCTCCACTCCCAGCAGAGGTGCTGTGGGCACAGACAAAAAAAAAAGAAGTGCTGTAGACAGATGCCTTCGCCCCAACGCCAAGGCGTTCTGTAGACCCTCTGAGAATCTCATGACAGTTCAAAGTCACAAGTATTCATCGTGGAAACCCAAGCCTACTCACCACTTGGACAGGTGGGCAGGGAAGCTCCTCCTAGAATGTTTCAGTTCTCCTATTAAGGAATCCCAGGCCACCAAGCATAACTGAGCAGCCAGGGTGAGAACAAGGTTGTTCCTCCCAAGGTGTGTGTGTCATCTTATGGGGGCCACTATGTGGTTACAGACAGCAGCCATGGTATCCAGGGTTAGCTCTGCAGCTCCCTTGAGGGTATGTCACTTTACGGAGGGGAAAACTGAGAGGGAAGGTGGCTTACTCAAGGTTCAAGATAAGCAAGTGACAGAGAGGACTGAAAACCAGGTCTCTGCCATGTGTGATGGTGCACACCTGTAATCCCAGCACCAAGAGGCTAACACAGGAAGATTGTGAGTTCAAGGCCAGCCTGGGCTATATAGTGAGATCCTGACTCAAAAAAACAAAAAAGCTGGTCTCTGCTTCAAGTCCAAGCCTAGCTCTGCCTCCTTCTGCAGTGAGCATGGGCACCCCAATATGACCTCTTTGATGGTCTTGAGGTCCCTCCCACCAGGTCTTCCCTTCCTGCTGAGGGAAGAATTTAAGAGGAAGAGACTAGAGGAGGAAGTCATGTGAAGGCTGTTTCTAGGCAGACAAGCCATCAGGGCCAAAAGGGAGTATGATGTGGACAGGAGGAGTTTAAAAGACATTTCTGAAGTAGAATTTCTGGAAGACAGAACCAGCAAGGAGAGGGAAAGAGACAAGGATGAGCCCGAAAGAAAAATTTAAACAGCAGGAACATTGATGAGCTCACTGGATAACTGCTTGATAGCCATGAAGAAAGGTTTCGCTGGCAGGGTGGCTCAAGTGGTAGAGGGCCTGCCTAGCAAGCATGAGGCCCTAAGTTCAAACTCCCATGCAGCCAAAAAAAAAAACGAAATAAATAGGTTTCCAGGAGGAACCCAACTGTCCAGGTGACACATGCCAGTGTCAGAACCACTGCTGCGGCTATGCACCAGTGGTTCATGCCTATAATCCTAGCTACTTGGGAGGCTGAAATTGGGAGCATCTCAGTTCAAGGCCAGCCAAGGCAAATAGTTCACGAGACCCCATCACCAAAATAACTAGAGCAAAATGGACTGGAGGTGTGGCTCGAGTGGTAGAGCGCCTGCTTTGCAAGCACAAAGACCTGAGTTCAAACTCCAGTCCCACCAAAAAAACAAGCAACCGCTCCTCCACAGCCTCAGTTGCCTTGTGTGTAACACAGGGAGGAGCCTCCAGAGACTTGTGAAGCTCGAAATGCACAAACCTGCAAAAGGCAAAGGCACTCAGGGAGCAGAGGTTCCCACAGTGGGTGGAGGAGGGCAGGAATCAAGGGCTATCTCTTGGTGATCCAGTTTCTGACATCCTCCGCCCTGCATGACTTCTTTAGGGTACCTGTGGCAGCTGTTGGACTTTTTCCACCACGGGGGCCCTGGAGTCTGCGGTGGCCATTGCCACTGGGAAGTTGCTGTCTTTGGTAAGAAGTCAGCCCTGGGCCACCTCCTACCAGGGATGCCCCAGGCCTGGGCCTTCAGCAGGAATCTAAACAGAAGCTTTTCCCAGAAATGACCCAGGGGCTCCTTCCTGGACAGATCTGGGGGTCCTCTCATTCCTGGGGGCTCAGGAAAGCAGAGCCCGCCCGGGAGACACCCCCTATGGAATATGCCCCTTCCCAAGCTGCCTTGATTGTTTTTATGGAGGGAAAAGCCAGGACCTATGTATCCATCCCCTGATTCCCAAGAGTGAAGGGTGATGGGCTGTGAAAGAAACTGTGCCAAGCCTTCTCTCTCTGTGTGGGGAAGAGAGAGAGCGAGGGCCCGGGTTGAGGAAGTGGGGGGGGGTGGTCTCTGGGTAGTCCTGTTCCTCCCTTCAGCATACACCACCTGAGACCCCATGATCTGCACTGTGTGTCTGCCTACAGGGAAGCTTCTGCCCAAGCAGTGCCCACTGGCACCTTCTGACCTGCCTGCTAGGCTTTGGGGTAGCTCCTTAGTCCCTCTCAACCTGTGCAGGTCACTAGGCTGGACTTCAGGACACACAGACAGCCCTGCGCCTGGGGAGCTGGGGAGCTGGTCATCTTGACACAGTGCCCTTCAGGCCGCTGATATGCCAGGACCTTGATAGTCCCTTGCCTTTAGCTCACTGCATTTGTGTCCCTCCCTTAGGCCGAGCAGCAGCTGGTGGACTGCGCTCAGAACTTCAACAATCATGGCTGTGAAGGGTATGTCCCCGATGGGGAGGCGGGGAGCAGAACTCCTTCTCATCCTTCCTGATTGCTCTGTCTCGTCTATCAGGTCTAACCACAGACACAGACATAACCCTGTCCACACAAGCAAATCATGCCCATCAGCTGGAAGGGAAAGTCGCCACACGTGGCCAGAACGGGGCAGAGCTGGGATCTTTGCCCAGGCCTGTGTCCTTCTGAAATCCATCCTCCTTCCACAACGTCACCCGGCTCTCTGCCCTCAGTGTGGTTGGTCTCACAGCCTCCAAAGCCTCTGAGCGAGTGCTCAAAGGACTTCAGAGTGAGAAATACAATATGGCCTCACCCTCCAAACCGAGGTGCACACAGACAGTTCTTCAAAGGCCCCCAGCTCACTGGCCCCGACAGGAGCCTTTGTGAGCTCCTCCGTGGCAGTCGGTCTTCACACAGTGCTGTAACTCAGCTGGGCCCGCTTCCTGGCCCATTCTTGAAACAGGCTTTTAAGCCAGGACCCTGTGGTCCTCTAGGGCCTCTCTCAGCCCTGACTTCTGTACCTGTGATGCACCCCTCTCCAGGCCACCCACCGCCCTCATTCTCCTCCTCTGTGGGAATACCTCGTGCACCGCCTGCTCAGCCAACAGCAAGACCTACAGACTTAGGGAAGTCCCATCCTGCCCTCAGGACCCACCGTCATGCTCACTCTCCCTCAGTTTGGCCTCTTTCCTCTAGCCAAGCTCACACCATCCAAAGCTAGACTCTGCCCACTGGGCACACTGGAGTCCCACCATTTTTCCAGAGTCTGTTTGCTTTGGTTTCCATGTTTCATTCACTCACCAGGTCCCCTGAGACCTGCTGTGTGTCTAGGCACAGGGAATCCAGCACCCAGCAAAACTCCCGGAGCTGCTGTTCAGCCAAGTCAGATAGGCCATGAGCAAGCATGTCATAGGTCAGGTGGGTGACGCAGTCTGTGGAGAGGACAAAGCAGGGATTGGGGTGGGGACTGCTGAGCACTGGTGAGGCTTTGTTTACTCTGTCTGGGAGGTGGCACCTTTGGAACCAAAGCCTGACTCCAGCCATCTGGCTGGGACATGGTGTTCGGCCCCGTTGATTCTCAGGAAATAACAGCATCCACCACCTGGGGCTGATTTGAGGGGTGTGTGTCTGTGGAGTACCTGCCCATGGGGCTGCCCACTCCTCCTGACAGGGGCCTGGCTTCTGGGGGCCTTTGTCCCACGGAGCACATGTGACTCATCCTCAGACTCCAGTGGCCTGAGTTTGCTGACATATATCCTGAGAGCTGGCCTCTCAGAGACCTCCTCTGCCCCAGGCAGGACCCCCATGAGCCAGGCCAGGGCAAGATCCGGCCCTGAGACCTTTCCGCTGTCTACGGGGCCAGCTCCAGGCAGGCTCACCTGTGTGTGCTTCTTGCAGGGGTCTTCCCAGCCAGGCCTTCGAGTACATCCTGTACAATAAGGGGATCATGGGAGAGGACACCTACCCCTACAAGGCCAAGGTAATTCTGCCCAGCCTCAGCTCTGTCTCCTACACCACCTCCCTGCTCCCCTTCTCCTGGCATTCAGAATTACCTGAGCCCTCTGCCTTCATGGGGAACCTCTCATTGCCCCCATTCCCCTGGCACCATCTCTCCTTCCTGAGCATCCTTATCCTCAGGACCTCCCACCTCACCCCAGTCTCCCCTCTTTCTTCCTGGCTCCCTCATGTCCTCTCTACTGACCATGATGCTCTCTCAGGCCCACTTTCATACTGCCCAAGGCCTGCTGAGTGTGCCAGAAACTTCCTGTCCAGCAGTGTGGCCCAGCTTGGCCACAGCCAAGCCCTCATCTCTATCCAGGCCTGTAGCATTTTCCCACTCTGAACAGCTGCACTGACCTCAGAACCTGTGGTCACTGAGGGTCCTATCAGGAGGCAACGCCCTTACCCAGGCTCTCACCCCAGGCAGCCTGCGGGCTATCACAAACTTTGTATAGGCTCCCTTGGTCTCCTCGGACCCTGGCCTCACTTCATCACAGGACACTGAGTTGGCCTCTTGTGGGCCTCTCAGACCCAGCTGTGGCTGCACACCTGCCTTGCTCAGAGCTCCCTGAAGACTCCTGGGGCCTGCCCCATGCTGCCCATGCCGGTCTTTCCCATCTTATCTCCTGTGCACTACCCTCACAAACCTTGTGCTCAGGCCCTTTGCTTGCTGGATCCCAGACACCAGGTCCTTCCCCCCCGCCCCGGTCCAGTCCTGTGACCTATCTTTGTGCCTGCCTCTGGGTCAGCACTGCTTCCTACACCAACCATCCCATCCTCTCCCTGCCATGCAGGCTCTGACTCAGCCCCCATTTCTGAGTTGGCTTTGCCTGGCTCGGGCCCCTCCCTAGGCACCCACCAAGCACTGTGTGTGCCCACCTCTGCCAGAGCCAGCACGGGACCATCTCCAGACTCTGAGCTCCCCAAGGACAAGGATGCCTCTAATACTCTCCAAAGTGACCCTGTCTCCAAGGTCCTGCTGCATGTAGTTTCTGCTTAGAAAATGCTGTCAAACTGCATGGGGAGGCTGAGGTCTCAGCCTTGGGCCAAGTGTCCCTCACCTGTGTTCCATGCCCTTTGTGGCCCTGAACAGGAAGGTAACTGCAAGTTCCAGCCCCAGAAGGCCATTGCATTTGTCAAGGACGTCGTCAACATCACACTCGTGAGTACTGGATCCTTCTCTTGGCTGGGGAGTGTGTTCTGTTGGGGAGGTCTGTATTCGTGGTGGTCAGGTGGCCAGGGGGCCCAGGAGGCCAGGGGGCCCAGGAGGCCAGCCTTTCCTGCAACACATCACTGTGACCGAGGAGTATGGGTTATCATTAATTCTCATGCACCCACAGCGTGGTGGGAGATGGGAGGGAAATCACAGACTAGCAAGGGATGCTCTGGTTCTGAACTCCACATCTGCACAAGGCTTCATGCTTGAGGTTCTGTTCCTTGTCTGCAAAGTGCAGATGATAATCACCATCCTGCAGAAGAGGGAGTCAGCATGTGGGTGAGGCCAAGGAGGAGCGTGGATGTGCATTAGTCAGGATAAGCTAGGTTCTGCTGCAGCAACAACCATCCCCAAATCTGAAGGGCACACGACAAAGTGTGTCTCATCCCTGCAACCTGTCCATGGCTTGGGCAAGGCTAATTGTATTCTGTGTCATTGGCCTCTCTTAGGACCCAGGCTGAGGGAAAAAGAGTGGTAAATTAGGCCAAAAAACGAGTTATAGTCACAACTCACCTCAAGTGGATGGGGAAGAGTGCACGAGAATGTGAGTGACGTCCTCGTGGCTCTGGTGTGCGTTGTGCAGTCTGGCAGAATTGTATAGGCAGTGCACTCCACAGGTGTGGGCAGGTGAGAGCACGAGGCGAGAGGGGGAGTGCCCATGAAGGTGCAGGTCACAGACATGCCGTCCTAATGACAGCAACTGCTGTGTAATTGAAGTCAGGCCAAGCTCTGTGCTGTAATAATAGTTTGAGTTTATGGAGTGTTTACAGGTGTTGTACCACTTGACTCGAATTATCTCCTTTGGACTCAAAATAGCCCTAGGAGACAAGTGCCATTGTTGCCTTCATTTTATAGATGAGGAAACAGGCTCAGTGTGGGTAAGTGATGTGCCCAAGGCCACAGAGCTAGGAGGTGGAGGCTGGATCTGAACTGAGATCATTGCCTCCACCTGCAGCCCACACCCTGTAGTAGCTGTGTTACACCTTCAGAAAAGAGCCAATTTCTTTGACACCCCCTCCAAGGCTGACATCCTGGGCCGCTGTATTCCACTGAGAGAAGTGAATAAGAGCTCGGAAGTATCCCTTTTGCCTGGTCCCCAAGAGACCCTTATCAGGGACACCTGCAGGACCTAAAGAGCAGGCCAGACCAGGCATTCAGTCCTCTCTGGCAGGGCAAGATGGCTGGAAATGGTGCTGGCCCTCCCGTTCTCAGATCCACCTGACTCATCTGGGCTCACAAGTCCTCTACCAGTAACAGGATGGAACTGTTTGCCTTGCAAGTGGCTGGCTGTTCACTTGTTGCAGCTGTGTCTCTGCCCACCCCTCCTGAAGAGAGACTGAGGGAGGCTGGGTGCCTCATCCCCTCCTACACAAAGCCACCCTGACCCCACACACTCACACACACACACACACACACTCAGAAGGCCCACAGCCCTCAGCTGGGTCTTATCTGTTTGTGGATTTATAAGCCCTGTGTTCTGCAATATAAATTAGCCTCATGGGTGTGGAGAGTCCTGGGGGCAGGGATGGGTGTCACATCCATTGGCCTCAGTGAACAATCGTGAGTGACTGAGTGAGTCCATGCTATGCCCTGTATGAGAATATGGGGGAAGCGGAGGGGAGAGCCAGACAGACCCCGCCAGCAAAGGAAGCAGCGAGAGGCCCTAAGGAAGCCTAATGGTTTGATAGGAAGGATTGTTCGCCAGATGAAAGACCCCAAGGATCCTGGCGACCCACACAGGCAGCAGGGCCTGCATACCAGTGCTCAAAGCCCAATCCCAGGTTCTGCTGGGCAGAGAGGTCCGCACCACCCCCTGCCCCACCCGGTGGCTGCCTTTTGGTCTGTTCCTCCCTCCTGACTTCTGCATGTCTCTGGACCTCTAGCCCTTTGTTGGGGCAAAGGACTACATTTTCAACGTGAGGCAGGGAGGTGATGGCCATGCGTGTCTATCAACCCATCTGTCCACAGAATGAGGAGGAGGCAATGGTAGAGGCTGTGGCCCTGTACAACCCTGTGAGCTTTGCCTTTGAGGTGACTGACGACTTTATGATGTATAAAAGCGGGGTCTACTCCAGGTAAGTTAGGGTCCCTGGAGCCGGTGGGCAGGGGAGGTAAGTGGGCCTCTTCACACCCAGCACATAGCCCTCAGGCTCAGCCCAGATTTCTTCTGTGCACTGGGCATTTTACACATCCCCTCAGTCCTCCAGCACACTGAGGGTGAGGACCATGTCTGTCTCAGAGAAGAAGAGAGAAGGCCAAAAGGGATGCAGCAGGCCCTGATCAAGTGGCTATTCAGAGCTAGGACCAAACTCTGAGCCCAGATCTCTGACCTCCTCTATGGAGGGGCTGCCTTCAGCCGGCCACCAGTGGCTCACACCTATAATCCTAGCTACTCAGGATTTGCCAAGCCAAATAATTCAAGAAACCCTATCTCGAAAAAAAGCCATCATAAAAAATAGGACTGGTGGAGTGGCTCAAGGTGTAAGCCCTGAGTTCAAACCCCCAGTACCACAAAAAAAAAAAAAACTGTCCTGTAACAGAAAAAGTAACACTCAGGCAGCAGAATCCTTCACTGGAGGGTTCACTACAGGCTTCTTCAGGGAAACAGAGCTCCTTAGCAACTTTGGTTTTGGTTTTGGTTTGTTTTGTGTGTGTGTGCGTGTGTGTTTTCAGTGCTGGGGATCAAACCCAGGGTCCCATGCATGCTAGGCAAGTGCTCATAGCCACCTGATCTCTGTCACATGAAGCCCTATCCTCCCTCTCCCAGGTCCACTTGTCCCTGTAAATAGTCACCATCCCTACTGAGGCATGAGGGGGAGGCCAGAGCCATGGGAGGACTTTCTTCGTGACATGCCTCCCACCCCAGCCCACCATTGCCCTCTCCTCCAGCTGCCTCCTCACTGGCCTGTCCTTGGGCCACTCTCCCTCCTCGTACAAACTGACCCATCCACTTAGAGCCAGAGTCTCCCTCCTGAGACACACCAGTGCCTCTCCATTGCCTAGTGTCTCAGCTTGGCTGGGGGACCCTGGTGAAGTATCCCTGCTTCTCCATGCTCATCTGCCATCAAACCTCCCTCCCTGTCTCCTATTCCATCCTGCAGCCAACATGGCTGCATGTCCCCTGCCTCCTCAAGTAAGCCTTTGTCTCCCACCTTGCTGGATTGTGGCCCCCTCTTGGGGCTCCTGTCATACGTTCACAGTCCTCAGCCCACAGCATAGAGGCAGCCTCTTTTTTGTTGGGGAGGGAGGTGTGGATTGGGAAGGTTGGCAATACTGGGGTTTGAACTCAGGATCTTGTGATTGCTAAGCAGGTACTCATCACTTGAGCCACTCCACCAGCCTTTTTTTCTAATGGGCTTTTCAAGATAGGATCTCAATAACTATTTGCCCAGGCTGGCTTCGAACCTCAATCCTAGGATTTACAGGCATGAGCCACTGGCACCAGGCAAGGCAGCCTCTTTGCCCATCTGCCCACTTCCTAAGGACAGGAGCAGAGGTGCCCACTGCTCATATCCTGGCACATACCTGGAATTGAGTTCTATGTCAGCCATATTCACACATGGGCTTTTTGACTTCATGGAATTTCCTCATGGAAGCTAGTTCACTATCCTAAATGGAAAACGTACATAGTTGCCATAAAAATGAGGTAATCTAAAATCAGTGCATCGTGACAAAAGAATGTGGTGTTGAATTCAAGCCAGACACTGCTGTGTGCAGAAGGAACAATAGGAGGGCTGCTCTCCTGGTTGGAAAGGAGGGTCAGAACATATCCACTGTGGAGAAGGGCCAGTACCACATGGAGACTGCACGAACAGAAGGACCTTGTCCTCTCACACTGTGACTGACAGACAGCAAACTCCCAGCCGCCCCAAGTGTGGGGCTTTCCCATCCCAGCAGCCCTAAAGTTCTGGAAGACCCTTTGTTGGGTGTGACTGGCTCCTTGCCTCTGTCCTTCCCACATTATCAACCTTTCTATTTTGTTTCCAGTACTTCCTGTCATAAAACTCCAGACAAAGTAAACCATGCAGTCCTGGCTGTTGGCTATGGAGAAGACAAGGGGATTCCCTACTGGATCGTGAAAAACTCCTGGGGTCCCCAGTGGGGAAAGGACGGGTAAGCAGCTTCCAGGCCCCATGGCATGGGTGCATGTTGCTTGGGTCTGGAAGCCCCAGGGGCATCCAGCAAGAGCCCACTGCCACGTTCAGGCAGTGTGGTACCATGGGAAGTTACGGGGGAGCTGGTGGGAAAGTACCAGGAAGGTCACTGGGTGGGAAAATGTTCCCTGTGGGCCACCAAGGAAGATAAATCGTGGTTAAGTCACTCATCGGCTCAACTGTCCTTGGCGCCCACCCAGAGGTAAAGATTAACAAATATCCCTTTGTCGGCCTTTGGGGTTGGGCTAGCAGTTTCCAGTGAACCGCCTGTGCGGGGTGGGGGTCTGACCCTAACATGGCTGTCCTTACTGTTCACCCCAATACTCAGCACCTTGCTGGGATGAAACCAACCTTGGGGAGGGCCCAACTTTGCGAAATCAAGGTGACAAATTTACCCCTCATCATGGCAGCCTCTCTCTCCTGTGAGGAAAAAAGGCTGGAATCAGGAGACCTGGTTATTTATGTGTGTGTGTGTGTGTGTGTGTGTGTGTGTGTGTGTGTGTGTGTGTGTGTGTGTGTGTGTTGGTGACTTTAGCTCTCTCCTAAAAAGGACAATTTCTATTGTCACCTCGGGGGTCCTAGTGGTAATTAGGTAGCTATGTGAGGTCAGGGTTAGAAGGGAGACTCAGTCAATTATGCTGAGAAGTGGGACATGGATAGATAAGAAAGTTTACTTGGTGGCCAAGGAGAGGAAGGGAGAAATTATTCACAATCAGGTCAGTAATTTCCTGATAGACAAATAATCTGTTCTGTGAATAAATTCAGAGACCCTAATCCCTGGAGTCAGGTCTTGTGAGAAGCAGACTATCTCCATATTCTCTCTCTCTTTTGTGGTACTGGGGTTTGAACTCAGAGCCCCAGACTTGCTAGGTAGACACTCCAGCAGCCCTAGAACGTTCCAGAAAGGTCTGTGGTGAGGATGCTGCCAGCCGGGCCTCCCCCTCGTCTCTCTGCCCAGGTACTTCCTCATAGAGCGTGGGAAGAACATGTGTGGCCTGGCCGCCTGCGCCTCCTACCCCATCCCTCTGGTGTGAGCCACGACGCAGGGACAGCTGGTTGTTGGAAGAGAGGGACTGGTGGCCTAGGCAGCGCGGTAGAAATCCTGTCATGGAGGGAATTGTGGGGAGATCGACCCAGGGGTCCCTCACCTTCTACCCTCACTGCTGTTCTAAGCCTGGAAACCAAAGACAAGGAGGACAAAGAGTTCCACCAGCACTGAGCCCACCCACATCTTCTGATGTGACCACTGTCACCAGCCATGTGCCTTATGTGTGGTTTTTAACTGACTCCAACCCACATGGACCAAAAGTACTCTTTCTTTCAGAGGGACCACTTTCACAGAGAGAGTGATCTGGACTATGTTTTCTGTGGCCTTTATTCAATAAACATTCAGTGACCCCTGCCTGGGCCAGGCCTGGTTCAGGGGCAGCACCAGACATGACTGGGACTGAGATTCCTTCTCCCAGGAGGGAGCTGTCAAGGGCTGTCCCCATCTCTGACCAGGAAGATGGTGTGGGTGCTCATGCCAGTGTCCACCAGGTGGGGGACCCAGAGGAAGAGCTGCCTTAGAGATTCTGACTGTCCCAAAGGTTGGGGGGAGGGTAGAATAAACCATCCAGGGCTACCCTGAAAGCCTGTGCCCTCCTCAGGCTCAGTTTCCCACTTTCCTCAGACTCTGACCCTCCACCTAGGGTGCCATCGCTTCCTCCCCAAGCCCTACCTTGAACGTGCCTGGTGCTCCTGCTCTCACCACACCATCCCTCTCCCCTTCCCTTCCACCAAGCTGATCTGCAGGCCTCTGGCCCTAGCGACACATCCGTACAGCAGTGGTAGCCCTGCCCTTCTCCTGCAGTTCACAGACTCGCCTAAGAGAAATAGAAGAGAAGACACAGAAGCTCTCATGTTATTTGGGTCTCCTGAAGAGCTAAAGGCTTGAGCTTATTTGGGGAAAAAAAATGTTCACGTCAAAACTTAGCAAATGCAAGTGTGGTCAAGAAGATTCTAGTAACACCAGGTACCACAACTATGCGTCAAGACAAAAAAGCGATCATCTTAATCGAATTAGTAGTAACTGGGTAAAATTCTGTTACAGTTTTTTATAAAAGCCAATATGACGTGAAAGCACAATTTCTTTATATGATAAAGACTCCCAAATGAATGGTAGTGGGATAAAAGGAGTCTCTTTAAAGGCAGATCCATGACGAGCAAGCCTGATGGTGCCACTGTTGCTTAGTGTAAATCCAGAAAGTCTGGCCACAGCTTGCCTAGCATGCAGGAGGTCCTAGGTTCAATCCCCAGCAACACATACACACACAACTTAGAACTAATGACGGAGTTCAAAAAGTGGCTGATTACCAAATATAGATAGAAAAAACTCTAAAACACTTTTTTTGTGGGACTGGGGTTTGAACTCAGGACAAAGCAGGCACTCTACCACTTGAGCCACACCTCCAATCCATTTTGCTCTACTTATTCTGGAGATAGGGTCTCTCAAACTATTTGCCGTGGCTGGCCTCAAACCACAATCCTTCTGCTCTCAGACTCCCAGGTAGCTAGGATTTCAGGAGTGAGTCACTGGTGCCCAGCAAAAAATATAAAACTCTTAATACTTGAAAGAAAAATATTTTAAACTGTACAGCAACAAAACTAGTAGCTAGGATTAACTATAAAAAAAACCTACCAAAAAATGAATTCTAAATTATTAAAAACTATAAGGAAAGACAAATTCAGAGGCATACCATGTTCTTGAATGGGAAGATCAACATTAATAACTTCGTTCTTGCCAGAAATATAGAGCTGAGCGTGGTGATTCACACCTGTAATCCCAGCTATTTGGAAGGAGGAGATCAGGGTGATCATGGTTTGAGGCCAGACCAGGCAAAAAGTGGGATCCCATCTCAACACAAAAAAGCTGGGTGTGGTGGTACAGATTTATAATCCCAGCTAGGCAGTAGGCATAGGCAGTCCAAGGCCTGCAGGACAAAGACCCTATCCAAAAAATAACCTAAACCTAAAGGGCCTGGATACATGGCTCAAGTGGTAGAGTGCTTGCCTAACTTAAGCATGACGCCCTAAATTCAAACCCCCGTGCCACTAAAAGTAAAAAAGAAAGAAAAGAAAAATGCAAGTTTGGTATATTTCCAACTAAAATCTCAAAAATTCAGGTGTGCTGGCACAGACATGGAACCCCAGCTACTCAGGAATTGAAGGCAAAAGGATCATGAATTTGAGGACAGCCCAGCAGAGTTAATGAGACCCTGTCTCAAAAACAAAATAAACCAGGCACCAGTGGCTCTTGCCTAATCCTAATCCCAGCTCCTCAGGAGGCAGAGATCAGGAGGATCTCGGTTCAAAGCTAGCCTGGACAAATAGTCTGTGAGACCCTATCTCAAAAAAACCCCTCACAAAAATAGGGCTGGTGGAGTGGCTCAAGGTGTAGCCCCTGAGTTCAAGCCCCAGTACCATTTAAAAAGAGCTGGAGGTGTAGCTCAAGTGGTAGTCCTTGGGTTCAATCTGCAGCACCACAAAAAAATTTTTAAATGTAATAAAAACATAAAGATTTTTCATTCTACCTGGGGAAAAGACCAAGGCGTTAAGGTTTCAATAAATGAGTAATGAGAATGGATTTTTTTTTACATTAAACTACAAAAAAAAAAGTCAACCCTTAAAAGCAGTGTACCAATTAAATATAGATTAATCACCCAGAGTCTAGAAAATGATAGTTCAATGCATCAGTAGAGGAAACATTGATTTTTACTATTTGGTAAGTAAATACAAATTTGCTAGGGAAGTGAGCCGCTATTTAGAGAAAGTTTAACCCAGTCCTTCACCCAAACCTGTCTTTAACTCTTGCTTTAGAACAGTTTCAGATTTAAGCCGGTACTGTGGCTCACTGTTGTAATCCGAGCTACTAAGGAGGCAGAGATCAGGAGGATCACGGTTCAAAGCCAGCCCTGGGCAAATAGTTCGAGAGACCTTATCTCAAAAAAAACCCATCACAAAAAAATGGCTGGTGGGGTGGCTCAAGATGAAGGCCCTGAGTTCAAACCCCAATACCACAAAAAAAAACCTTCCCCAGAGGGCTTTAGAGGCCCAGCAGAGATCGTGGGCTGGGACAGGACACAGACCTGGACTTCATAGCAACTGCTGTCCTCCCTACAAGCCCAAGCACGTCCACTGCCCTCAGCCCGGACAGTGATGACCTCTTACATGGAGGGTGTGAGAGCCCATTCCCTCCCTTCTGTCCAGTTCCCCAAGCCCTGCAGAAGCTGTGTGTGAGTCCCCTCCAGGGCCAGGAGCAGGCTGGGGTGTTGTTGACACTGAGTTCTTGGCATTACTGCCATTTCACGGGCAAAATGGCGTGTGCTTTGGGAGCATCTAAAGAGAACAGCAGACAGAGTGACATCCATCTGGGATGAATAAATTCCAAATGTGCTTGGACGCCAAGGATCCAGTGGAGAGCCTGGTAGAGAGCAGGTGCGATTCACTCTCAGTCACCATCTCTTGATGCTGCTCATGACAGGCTATGCCAGCCTCCAAGGATATGAGGTTCAGAGGCACACATCTTTGGCACCACTGCGGGGGAAAAATAATAAAGTTTAAAAAGAAAGCAGTTGAAGTCCAAAGGTTAAATATCAAAGACATCACAAGAAAACTAGAGCAATATCTCTTATCAAGACAGATGTGGAAATCCTCTGTAAAACAGCAGCAAGGCACACCCAGCAAGGTATGAAATGACTTTCCATACACCATGACAAGTGGGGGTTATTCCTGGAATGAAATCTGGTTCAACATACGTAAATCAGCCAGTAATATGTCATGTTTAATAAAAAGAATAAAAACTGATCGTCTCAACAGGTGCAAAGAAAGCACTGGAAAAAAATCAAACACGTGGGTTGGGGACGTGACTCAGTGGCAGAGTCACTAGCATGCACAAGTCTCAGTGCTGAAAAAAAAAATCCAACCCCTTCATGATAAAATCACTCAACAAATTAGGAATAGAGGGGAACTCTATCAACCCGATAAAGGGCACATGAAGAACCAGATAGCCAGGCACCAGTGACTCACGCCTGTCATCCTAGCTACTTGGGAGGCTGAGATCAGGGAGATGGCTGTTTGAGGTCAGCCTGGGCAAATAGTTTGCGCGATCCCCATCTCCAAAAGAAATAGAGCAAAGTGGACTGGAAGTGTGGCTCAGGCGGTAGAGCACCTGCTTTGCAATGTGGGGAGCCCTGAGTTCAAATCCCAATTCCACCCAAAAAAAAAAAAACCTCACAGCTAATATCATATCCAATTTTGAAAACTGAATGCTCTCCCCTTAAATCCACTCTGTGCTTCTGTTCAACACTGTCCAGCAGGTTCCAGCCTGGGCGATTAAGCAGGAAAAAGGCATATGAAGAAGCATCCAGGTTGAAAGAAGTAAAACTATTTCTGTGTGCAGATGGCTTCTTGTACATAGAAACTGTAAGGAATACACTCTTTCCACCTCCTCTCTCTCTCTCTCTCTCTCTCTTCTCTCTCTCTCTCTCTCTCTCTCGTATACAGACACACCCACTCACACACAGAGTTATTAGAGCTGATAACAAAAGAAAGAAAGGACTTCATTAAAATTAAGATTTTTGTGCATCAAAGAGCACTGTAATAAAGTGCAAAAACCACCCACAGAATGGGAGAAAGTGTAGAATCCAGAATATATAAAGAACTCCTACATCTCAACAATCTCAACAATTAACAAAATACTGGACTGGGAATGTAGCTCAGGGGTAAGAGTACTTACCTAAATCCCAGCACCCAGCACCAAAAAGGTGCTAGGAGTAGGGGAATGGACAGGTTGGTGTTTTTGTGTTTGTTTGGTTGGTTTGTATTGCTTTGTTTGTGGAACAGGGCTTCATGCTGTAAAACAGCCACTTTACCACTTGAGCTACACCGCCAGTCCATTTTACTCGGGTCATTTTGGAGATGAGGTCTCATGAACTACCTGGAAACCACGATCTTCTGTATCTCAGTTTCTCAAGTAGCTAGGATTACAGGCGTGAGCAACTAGCACCCGGCTAAATCAGCCTTTTAAAATCCCTCCCTAGTCTGGTTTTGTTCCTAGAGCAGGCAGTGTCACATTTATAGAAGCTGGTTGTGTGTTACTAGGCTTATCATACAAACAAAATGTCAAAAATATTCAGAAAAGCCATGCAATAAAAGCCAGCCAAGAAACTAAAGGCCAAGATCACTCTGCACTTGCAAGGGACTGAATTTGAAAGCTAGAAAGCTAGCTTCCCTCCCACCATTTTTGTTCATTTGTTTGTTTTTGGGTTTTTTGGTGATACTAGGGTTTGAACTCAGGGCACTGTGTTTGCTAGGCAGGTTCTCTCTACCACTTGAGCCACACCCCCAGCTCTCCTTTCCATGGTCTTTAAAAGTTATTCTGCTTTTATTTTGTATTTCAGGGAGTTCGCCTTTAAGAACTGTTTACAAATATTCGAGGGCCAGCATTGTGGCACAAGCCTGTAATTAATCCCAGCTAGGGAGGTAGAGATCTGAAATACTGTGCTTCAAAGGTAGGCAGGGCAAAAAGGTAGTGAGAACCCATCTCAACAAATGAGTCAGGCATGGTTGTACACACTTGTGATCCCAGCTACATGGGAAGCATAGGTAAGAGGACTTGGTCTGAGGCTGGCCCCTGGCAAAAATACAAGACTGTATTTTGAAAAATCACTTAAAAAGCAAAAAAGGGCTGGGGCCATGGCTCAATTGGTAAAGCATCTGCCTACCAGTTACAAGGCCCTGAGTTCAAACCCCAGTACCACAACTAAAACAAAACAAAAAAAAAAGAATGTATCTGACTGGCCAATACAAGAAGTACCCTACTGTTCTTTCTCCTGATTTTAGGCACTAACAGGTCATTTTAGTCACAAAATGGTCCACTTTGTCCTGGAATATTTTATTAACAGTCTTATCATTCCTGTGGTAGATTTAAGTTAGCCTCAAGTCATTTGACATTCTTCTCACCGAATAGTTTGTCCTCTAGCTTGCATTTCAACAAGCTTTGTGACTTCTTTGACGAGTTTTTTAAAAAATAGCACTTTTGTTTGATGCAGAGGCCCACATCTGTTGCCTGGCTACTCAGCAGGCTGAGGCAGGAAGATCATTTGAGCCATGAGTTCAAGGCCAGCCTGGGCTACATAGCAAGACTCCCTCCCCCAACTCAAAAATAAATTAAAGAGCACTTTCAAGCCTAACCTTTCCTGTCACTGGAACCCTATGTATGAAACTCAACTACCCTAAGGCTGCATGTCACTGAATAAGAGGCTCTGGAGGGTGGGATAAGGTGCTGTGTGGGCGAAGGGCACAGAGGAGCTCAGAAGAACCAGAGGAAGGAGCACAGAAGCAGCCCTGGAAGCTGACCTCCAGCTCCAGCCATGACTCCAAATGCATCAACCAAGCCTGTCCTGACTTCATGACTCAAAGATGTGAACAAAA